GAAGAAACCCTTGGGTCTGCAACTCTATTAAACGGCTTTGGGGGATAGAACACTCTTCCCAATCACCTGGCTTAGAGTTGAGGGAGCGAGAGGAGGAGCTGCGGCGACCGGCCATGTTGGAATGGTTCTTTCCAGGAGTGCTCTGTTGGATGCATCCTCAAGGGAAGAGGGTGAGGTTTGGATCTGAGGATTCCCGTCCCTTCAAATAGACGGTTTGCCTGCAGGGCCGGGGTGGCAAATGTGAAAATACCGTAGCTCCTCGTATTCGCTCGACACGTGGAGATGGCCATTATTGACGCACAGAAGCCGAGGAGTACTACATTGATGGGAAGCCGAACACTGTTCATTACAATAGATACTTTGGAGTATTCAGAGATGGAACCCGCCTTGCAATGCCGAAGACAAACTGCGCGCCGGACTCATCGTCATTGAAGCCTGATTCAGGGGCTACTGAGGGAGTCCTGGATTAGGGGGTGTCCGGACAGCCGGACTATATACTTTGGCTGGACTGTTGGACCGTGAAGATACAAGACTCAAGACTTCGTCCCGTGTCTGGATGGGACTCTCCTTTGCGTGGAAGACAAGCTTGGCGATCTGGATATTAGATTTCCTTCTTTGTAACCGACTCTGTGTAAACCCTAGCCCCCTCCGGTGTCTATATAAACCGGAGGGTTTAGTCCTTAGGGGGACAATCATAATCATCATAGGCTAGCCTCTAGGGTTTAGCCTCTACGATCTCGTGGTAGATCAACTCTTGTAATACTCATATCATCAAGATCAATCAAGCAGGAAGTAGGGTTTTACCTCCATCTAGAGGGCCCGAACCTGGGTAAAACATCGTGTCCCTTGCCTCATGTTACCATTAGCCTTAGACGCATAGATCGGGACCCCCTACCCGAGATCTGCCGGTTTTGACACCGACACCCACCTTGCCCTCTGTCTAGCGTCACCGGAGTCAGCCTGATTCATGGCCCAAGGAAGGATGTTGACTGACATAGCGCCCTTTGATGGGTCAAGAATCAGCGTCTTCAACTCCTCCGTTGTCGCCTTCTTCACCACAGCGTCTGCCTCCGTGTGCATGTCTTCGATGCTGCTGAAGTTCGAGCACACTTCAATGGTGTGCTCGAACTTGGTGCGGTCACCGAGCGAGCACCCGAGGAAGAAATCCCTCCATCCAATGCCCCAAGGGAAGGGGTTGGGGTTGGAGTTGGAGTTCATGGTGATGGATAGGAGGAAGAGTGATAGACAGAGAAGAGGGAGGGTTAACTGAGTGCGGTTGTGGTTAAGTAGTGATCTTTGGGGTGGGTAAGTATAGGGGCTTTGGACGGTAGGTTTTAATGTCGATGAACCTTTGAACATTGTGCTCTTCATAATGCCATGAACTTTGTATTGTTCATAACACAGATCGAGATAGAGAACAGTGAGAAGGGCAAGGAGGTGGTGCCGCCCATGGAGAAGGGCAAGGAGCTTGTGCCTCCCTCGGAGCTTTTGCCAACCACGGCCGAGGAGGTGCCGGGCACGGACGACGACGCAATGCCGGAGGAGCCCCCTAGTGGAAAGCGCTGGAGCTACAGGCACTACCATGAGGAGGGTGGGCAAACGCACTTCTGCAAGGTCATCCTTGCCCTGAATCTCGAGTGCATTCCAATGCCCTTAGACTTCACCAAGCACTTCCCGGCCGTGCCGATGGAGTTCAAGCTCAAGACGAACACTGGCTGCTCATGGAGGGTCACTGTGAGGCTGATGAACAATAGGGTCACCCTCGATCAGGGTTGGGCCACCTTCGCCGCCATCCATCAGATCAAGATCGGGTACATGGTGACCTTCAAGTTGTTGACCCCCAACACGGTCAAGGTCATCGTCTTCAATGACGACGACATTGAAGTGGTGACCAAGTGCGGGAGGCACGATGAGGCCTTCGATGTGAACGTATAGGACAGCTCTCCGTTGCTCCAGCTGGTTTAGTATCGACTATATTGTATTGCTTTGTTTGAAAACTACTATGTTTAAGTGTGATACTATGTTTAGAACTGCTTGCTATGGTTTAGAATTATGTTTAAGTGTGGTAGTATGTTAAATTGCTTACTCCTTGCTGTCTTTTGTGTGTCTTTGGGTTGTTCTACACGCCCATGTGTGCTGGTAACCTCACCACCTCGCCGAAAAGGTTACCAAACAACAGACGTTGCATGAAACCAAACACCATGCTTTGTGTCTTCGCTTAAACAAGCGGCCAACCAAACAAGCCACCTTTCATTACGCCCGTTGTAGGCTAGAAGGTATGCAGGCAATCAAACTAGATGCAGATGGATTTTTTTTGCCTGTTTTCGCTCGGCGAGGCCGAATTTCGAAGTTTAGGCTATTCTGGCAAAAAATGCTACGAGAACCAAACACGTTCTTATGTATTTTCTTTCAGTTTATATAAATGTCAATCGACTGATTTTGAAATAGGGTCAGTCGGTTTTCGAGAGATGGCTGGAGTGAGCCAGAGGTAAGGAAGGAGAAGGAATGGGCTCGCCGGAGGGCTACCCCAGTATCTAACTTAGGGTTCAGGGTGGGAGCGGTGGTGGACGGCGGCGGTGGTGGGGCGGTGGTGCACTTCGCCGAAGAAAAAACTTAAACGAGGGCGAGCCTAGAGAGATGGCCGGGGACAGCGGCTAGACCGTCGGTGGCGGGGCGGTGGTGCACTTCGTCGGAGCAAAACTTAAACGAGGGCCGGCCTAGAGGGATGGTCGGGGGCAGCGACTAGACCGGCGGTGGGGGGCGGTTTCGGGGAGGGTGGGGCGGCGAGGCGGCGCGGGCGCGGGTGGTGGTCGCAGGTGGTTTGGCCGGCGGCCCGGGCGGCGGCTAGAGAAGAAGAAGAGATGGAGGTAGAAGAAAGGCCGGGTGCCGTTAGATTTCGATCGTACGTTTGAAAAATCGACTGACCCGATAGCCTCGCCCATTTGCCTTTAGGCAGCATTTGTGTTTTGTTTCCTTGCCGCAACTCGCAAATTCTTTTATTAGAGCATCTCCAACAGGCGCCCAAAAAGAGCTCTCCGCGCTAAAAGTTTGTTTTTTTGGGCGCCGGTCAGCTCCAGCAGAAGCTGTAGCGCTAAAAGTTTTTGGGCGCACGCTGAAAAACGCAATGGCGCGCAGCATATTTAGGGCGTCGGATTGCGCGCGCTTCACAATTTGCACTATCTGTTTTTTGGGCGCGTGTTTTTGGGCACCTGCTAAAGCAAAGTTGGTCCCGACGCTTTAAAAGTACTATGGTGGCGTGCTATAACGTTTATTGGGCGCGGATTTTTTGTGCGGCCGTTGGAGATGCTCTTACAACGTAAGAACACGCCAAGACGCCTACCAATCTATGTGCACCCTTCCACAGCCGATCAACAACATGGAGTTCAATGGATTCGACATGTCCAAACTTCCCTACCCATTCCAAATTCAGGACCATCGGCAGTCGCATCCGCGGCACGCGCAGCTTGGCCACCACATCGACGGCCAACAGCACCAACAAGCCTCCGCCGCCGCGCCAGTTTCCGCCGCCGATGCGTCCGTCTCCTCCAACGCGGCCGGAAGACTGCAATTGAAGCCAACATTCGCAGGTCAGGACGACGAGGGACACAATTAGCAGGTATTCATTGGATACATAGAAACCGCGCACGCAGTGCAAACCATGCGAGATACTACGCGTCGGGAAGACGACCGTGTACCTGCGCGGGCCGGCGACGCCATCGGCGGTGGCGAACCTGACGGACTTCTTGTTCATGCTTGTTCTGCACCCGGCGCAGTCATCCCTCACGCACAAACTCCGGCTGGAGTTTCCTGTCGACATCTCTGGGACGGCCGGCAGCCTCGCGACGGATGGGACGCGGTGGAACACCCCAGCGTCGTCGTAGTAGAGGTCGCCGACAAGGTAAAGCGGGCCGTCCCCGCCGGAGTTTTCCAGCTGGATGCTGAACAGCTGGTCGTTCGAGGTGGCGCTCCATTGGGCGGGGCACGTGGATTGCGTGCGGAACATCGATGAAGGGAGCCTCTTCGGGTCGTACCCAGCGGGCTGCCCCTGCGCCATCATCGTCTGGACTGCCGGCGGCAGCGTTGCCGGCATGAACTCGTCGGGAGAGGAAGAATGGTCGTGGTCCGCCGCCGCCTCGACGTGGTGCAAGCTCTCGTAGGAGGATGTGGAGGACAAGGATGAGTGCCGGTCAAGGTCGAGTGCGGGAATGCTCTCGCACGACGAGCTGCTGGATAGAGGTGGGGACGACGACGAAGCGGACGACGAGCGCAGCGATTCGGCCGGCGTCCAGAAGGAGTCGGAGTGGGAAAGCTTGTGGTCGTGAGTGGTCTCGACGCTGCCGCCGCTGCAGGAGTACGAGGGCTGACTCCTCGGCGCCGGTGCCGGTGCGCGCACAGAACCGTTGTCGTGGTCCATGACCGCCATGGCTGCGTCACGCGAGGTCGTGATCGTGACTCGGGATGATTAATTGGTTCGTCGAGTCCGTTCTGGATCAACGATGGAGAAGGCGGCGTCACGACGCCGCAGATCTACACGTACGAGAGAAAACAAATCAAATCTTGTCATTTGGAAGCGAGAACAGAAGAAATGAAATCGAAATTGAGAGAACAAATCTCCAAACATGATACTCCCATCCTACCTGCTGTGAAGAGCTAAACGGGCACATATGGGATTGGTCGGAACTCCGCGGCGAGAGGCCGGCAAGGAAAATCCAAGAAATGGAGCTCCGACAAGAGACAACAATAGCCGGCCTCGCTTTTATATGCTTGGGAGTTGGGATCGACGAACGGGGAAGAGGACAGACCGTTTATTCCAGGGAAATTTAGGCGCTGCCGTTTGCTGGTAGCCCAACCTACTTTTGGCCAGGAAAAAGCGACGTAACAAAACTTGCGATCCACATATTCCGGCCATATTGACGAACTGGTTTGTCCCGAATAAGCTTAAACGGACGCTCGTTTTGTCCGGATTTCGTTCGTTTTTAAAGCGGCAATGAAACCGTGTTCGCCCGGACTTATGTTTCATCTTATCCGAAGGTCAAGTACTATAAAATTAAGCACAACAAAATAGTTTAGATCAAACATAAAAACATGTTCAAAATAGTCTTTTATTACAATCTAATTAAAATTTTAAAAATATCAAATAGTCTACTCAAAGTTTGTGCACATGGAAAGATATTAAACCGATAGATCTACTGATTGCCAATGTGATTCCACATGTGCTTAACCAAGTCATCTTGCAGCTGCGTATGAGTGTTCCGATCACGCATCTCACGATGAAATTGGACAAACTGTTCAAAGGTTGCAGGAGGTGGGTGCTCGGGCTCAACATTCTCACCCTGGAAATCAAACCCTTGGTCGTAGATGCTGCCATTACGCTCATCCTTAATGATCATGTTGTGCATGATCACAGAAGCAGTCATCACCTTCCAAAGCTTCTGAGTGCTCCATGTCAATGCAGGGTGTCGAACAATACCCCATCGAGACTGAAGCACAACAAATGCACGCTCCACTTCTTTCCTAACACTCTCCTGCATTTGGGCAAACCTCTGTCTCTTCTCTCCTTGTGGATCGGGTATGGTCTTTCACAAGAGTGGACCACTGAGGATAGATGCCATCAACTAGGTAATATCCCTTGTTGTAATGGTGGTCATTGATCTCAAAGTTGACCTCCGGACAGTGGTCTTCTGCAAGCCTTGCAAACACTGAAGAATGCTGAAGAACGTTGATTCATTATGAGAACCAACCATGCCGAATAAAGAATGTCATATCCACAGATCTTGTGAAGCCACCGCTTCAAGTATGACGGTGGCACCTTTCACATGTTCCTTGTACTGCCCCTGCCAAGCAAATGGACGGTTCTTTCACTTCTAGTGCATACAATCGATACTACCGAGCATGCCCGGGAAGCCCCTCTCGGCATTTATCGTCAACAACCTCTCTGTATCAGCGACATTTGGTTCTGTCAGGTATTCAGGACCGAACACTGCCACCACGGCCTTGCAGATACTATACATTGAGAGGAGACATGTGGACTCACTCATACGCACATACTCACCCACAAGATCACCAGAAATTCCATATGCAAGCATGCGAATAGTCGCAGTGCATTTCTGATAAGAACAGAAGCCAAGCTTGCCAAGGGCATCTGATACGTCTCCAACGTATCTATAATTTTTGTTTGTTCCATGCTGTTATATTATCATTCATAGATCTTTTACAAATATTTTATAGCAACTTTATATCATTTTTTGGGACTAACGTGTTGACATAGTGCCCAGTGTCAGTTGCTTTTTTTCTTTTTTTTTACTTCGCAGAAAATCAATACCAAACGGAGTCCAAACGCAATGAAACTTTTTGGACATTTTTTCTGGACCAGAAGACACAAGTTGGGCCAAGGAAGTAACATAGGGGGGCTCCAAGGGGAGCACAAGACCCCTGGGCGCGCCTGGGCCTCCAAGCGCGCCCTCGTGGGTTGTGCCCACCTCAACCACCTCCTGCACTGCCTCCTTGCTCTATAAATACACCAGTATTCCAAAAATCCTAGGGGAGTCGACGAAACACAATTCCAGCTGTCGCAAGTTCCAGAAACCACAGATCCAATCTAGACACCATCATAGAGGGGTTCATCATCCTCATTGGTGCCTCTCCGATGATGCGTGAGTAGTTCATTGTAGACCTACGGGTCCTTACTTAGTAACTAGATGGCTTCCTCTCTCTCTTTTGATTCTCAATATAATGGTCTCTTGGAGATCTATTTGATGTAACTCTTTTTGCAATGTGTTTGTTGGGATCCGATGAACTTTGAGTTTATGATCAGATCTATATTTTATCCATGAAAGTTATTTGAGTTTCTTTGTTCTCTTATATGCATGATTGCTTATAGCCTCGTATTTCTTCTTCGAATTTTTGGTTTAGTTAGCCGAGATTCTATGAGCGTCTACAAACCAAAATGTTTGCCTCACCAACTGGTCATCCGAGTCTCCTGAACCCAGATCTATGAGATCAGAGACACGTGAAAGAAGATTATTCCCACGGTAGTTAGATCCTTTTTGGAGGATGACTGAGGTATCCACGGATCACTCCAAGCTTTAATGCTTTGATCGTCCCCAATCCTCCAGATATAGCCCCTCCTCAATGTGTCCACTCCTACCATAATACTCTGCCATGTGTATGATCCTTTTCTGTCCAAAGTAGCATTCATCAGGTCTCCCTCTAGGAAATACTTTGCCATGAGAATTACTGCACATAAAGATTCTGGGTTGTCAATTAGCCGCCAAGCCTGTTTAGCAAACAGTGCAAGATTGAAACAGTGGATATCCCTAAATCCCATGCCTCCTTGCTTTTTTGGTATACACATCTTCCACCACGCGAATCGGTGCATCTTTTTTTGTGTTGCATCATCACCCCACCAAAAACTTTATATCACATATGTGATTCCTTTCCATTTTCTTTTGGAATTTTGAAGACCGACATCGTGTAAGTTGGTATAGCTTGAGCAATAGATTTTAACAAGATGTCCTTACCTCCTGAAGATAAACACTTCTCCTTATAGCCCATTAGTCTTTGAATTAGGGGGTCAATCAGATATTGAAAACTGTCGCTTTTATCAAGGCCTGGGGTTGCTAGTAACCCCAAGTATTTTATCATTTAATGCTTCATCATTATATTAAGTGTAGTACACATTGCTGCCTTCATATTCACTTCAGTGCTAGGGCTGAAAAAATACTTGATTTATCCACATTGACAAGTTGTCAGACACTGAACAATATCTATCAAGTATAGATTTCAAGCAAGCAACATTCCTCTCATTTGCCTATATTAAAATTATAGTTTCGTCTACAAACAAAAGATTCGTAATTGCAGGTGCGTCAGAACAAACTTTTACTCCCTCCAGTTCTCCATTTTGCTCATAATTTGATAATAGGGTCGTAAGTCCTTCCATACATAGCAGGAACATATACGGTAATAAAGGGTCACCCTGTCAAAGCCCTCTAGAAGGCATGATGGTTTTTGTTTCAAATGAATTAAATCTCACCTTGTATTCCACCGAGGACACACAAGTCATAACCAGATGAACCCAATCGGCGTGAAAACCCAGCTTCCAGAAACACCCACTCAACTCTATCATAGGCCTTATGAAGGAAATATGCCCTAGAGGCAATAATAAAGTTGTTATTTATACTTCCTTATATCATGATAAATGTTTATTATTCATGCTAGAATTGTATTAACCGGAAACTTAGTACATGTGTGAATACATAGACAAAATAGAGTGTCCCTAGTATGCCTCTACTTGACTAGCTCGTTGATCAAAGATGGTTATGTTTCTTGACCATAGACATGTGTTTCATTTGATGAACGGGATCACATCATTAGAGAATGATGTGATGGATAAGACTCATCTGTTAGCTTAGCATAATGATCGTTTAGTTTTATTGCTATTGCTTTCTTCATGACTATTACATGTTTCTATGACTATGACATTATGCAACTCCCGAATACCAGAGGAACACTTAGTGTGCTATCAAACGTCATAACGTAACTGGGTGATTATAAAGATGCTCTACAGGTGTCTCTGAAGGTGTTTGTTGAGTTGGCATAGATTGAGATTAGGATTTGTCACACCCATTGTCGGAGAGGTATCTCTGGGCCCTCTCGGTAATGCGCACCACTATAAGCCTTGCAAGCAATGTGACTAATGAGTTAGTTGCAGATGATGCATTACAGAACGAGTAAAGAGAGTTGCTGGTAATGAGATTGAACTAGGTATGGTGATGCCGACGATCGAATCTCGGGCAAGTAACATACCGATGACAAAGGGAACAACGTATGTAGTTGTGCGGTTTGACGACAAAGATCTTCGTAGAATATGTAGGAGCCAATATGATCATCCAGGTTGGTTATTGACCGGAGATGTGTCTCGGTCATGTCTACATAGTTCTCGAACCCGTAGGGTCCGCACGCTTAACGTTCAATGACGATTTGTATTATGAGTTATGTGATTTGATGACCGAAGTTTGTTCGGAGTCCCGAATGAGATCACGGACATGAATATGAGTCTCGAATGGTCGAGAGGTTGATATATTGGAAGGTAATATTCGGACACCGGAAGCGTTCTAGAGTGTATCGGGTACATACCGGAGTACCGGAGGGGTTACCGGAACCCCGGGGAAGGATATGGACCTTATGGGCCATAGGAGGGAGGCTAAACAGCCCACAAGGGGTTGGTGCGCCCCCCCCCCCCCACACACACACGGGAGGAGGCCGAATTGGACTTGGGAAGGGGGCGCCACCCCCCTTTCCTTCTCCTACTCCCTCTCCTTCCCCTTTTACCCCTCCGATTTAAGGAAAAAGGGTGGGGCCGAATCCTACTAGGACTGGAGTCCTAGTAGGACTCCCCTCTCCCTGGCGCGCCCCTTGTTGGCC